ATAAACATAATATTATCCTGAATCGGCTTAATAATACATATAATGTATTAATAAGATTAATATAAAATGGAATAAAATTATATAAATGATGCACTGATCATGATCTTATATGTCGTCTTACTATGCAATAAGAGTTTGATGCCTTCAATGCTAATGGCACTCGGTCTCTCTAACCTTTACATGCTAGAAAGAAGGCCATTGGATGCAAATGGGTATACAAGATCAAACTCGCTCGGATGGCACTATGGAATGTTACAAAGGCAAACTAGTTGCCAAAGCATATAACCAAGTCAAAGGCCTAGAGTACTAAGAGAATTTTACCTCCATTGCAAAACTTGTAATAGTTTATCTACTCTTTACTATGGCTTCCACCCAACATTGGCATCTTCACCAACATGATGTCAATAATGCCTTCCTATATGGAGAACTTCGAAGATGTTTACATGTCTCTACCTTCTGGTTTTGAACAAAAGGGGGAGACATGATTTTGTAAAATTCATAAATCATTGTGTGGCCTCAAACTAGCTTCTTACCAATGGTTGATTAAACTCTCTTCTACACTCAAGAGAGTTATCTTCAAGCAATCCAAGAAAGATTATTCTTTGTTCGTTCAATCCCAAAATGATACATTTACGATCCATCATTAATCATGTAGATTATGTCATTTTAGTGGGAAACAACCTACAAAATATTGAAGACATCAAGTTGTTTTTAAAGAATCAATTCAAATTGAAAGACTTAAAACAATTGAAGTATTTTCCAGCCATAGAAATTGCATAGTCCAACAAAGGCATTTCTCTTTCATAACAAAAATATGCACTTAAGATTCTTGAAGATGTAGGATATTTTGGAATGAAACTAGCTTCATTTCCCATGGAACAAAATGTACCTCACAACAAATTTAAAGACAATTCCATTAATGATCCATCTTCATATGGAAGGCTCGTTGGATGTTTAATTTATTTGACTATCACATGACTCGACTTGGTACATACAGTTCATGTGTTAAGTTAATTTATGGATAAACCATGAGTACCATATTTAGAAGTAACTTATCGTGTCCTTCAATATGTGAAGCAAACACCAAGATAAGGTATCTTCTTTCCTACAATAACTTTAATCTAGTTAAAGGCCTTTTATGATGCAAATTATGTTAGTGTTAGTGTAGGTGCTCAAGATCCAATCTTATTTGTATGATTTGATTTATTACAATATTGCACTTTTATATATTAATAAAAGAAATCTTTCTATTAATTCTTGTTGTTTACAATTTGATAAAATTAGATAGAATCCTATATGATATGTATTACATTAAAGATTGATCAATTGATGTGAAATGAATATTAATGTATTTAAATGATATAATTAAATATCTCAAGTCGTAGCATTATCAAGAATGAATATTGACTATATGCGATAAGACTTGTAAGTGCTATGCTCATGCTATAAGATAGCAATAGGAGATCTCACACCGATTGGCATGATGATGCCAAAGCAAGAACTTAGGTGATTAATGTTAAAGGATATATCACTTGGACATGACTCGTCATAAGAACCCATTTGGTTTAGTTTATACGAATCTCATACGAGATGGGTATAACTAGTCATTTGACTTGAAGTCATCATTATTAACTCATTAAAAGATTTATGCACTTTAACACCCATTTTGATGGGCTTGGTCAAGAGCTACATGTGGACGATTCATTGGGTTCATTAGAAATCTAATAGAGATAGGTGGATGATCGAGATAGGACATCTCATTCCTTATATGCTAAAGGAGTTATCACATTACGCTTCGATAAATGTCCGCTTAAAAAATCTATAGTCACCGTAGGAGTATATCAATTGAGTATAGTTGGTTTACTATAGAGTTAAAAACATTTGAGAATTAAAGAAAAATTATACGATCATAATCGAACGGACTTTAAACCAAGTTCAAGATCACACCTGTGATAAATTAACATGAGGATCTGAATTGTATAGTAACCATGCTTATGAATGGTAATTATAGATTAATTAATCCTCTTAAAGAATTGATAGTCATAATGTCTTGCTAGAGCTTAATCTTGATTCATATATCAAGAGATGAAATAGGTGTCTTTTATTCTTGATACATTACCAACATATTTAGGAGCCTATTTAGTTACACGCATAAGTTTAAATATTTTCATAATAAGAGAGAAGCAAAAATTTTGGAAAAGGTTTCTAAGTTTGAAAGTTTTCTATTTTTTAAAAACAAATTAAATGGAAAGTTTTTTGTTTCGAAAAAATTTTCCTATTTTAGAAATCGGTTTTCTAATTTGAAAGTCAATTCCAAATTTGAAAGATAGTTACCTAAAAAGAAAATTAATTTTCTAATTTAAATTTAAGAGTAATTTAGGAAATTGTGTCCTAATATGGGCCTCCTAAATATCGACCCAATTTATTTGGATGGTCCAAATTAATTGGTAATTAATTGGACCGAAAGAGTTTAGGCCAATAGGCTTAATTTAAAAGCTCGTTAGATATTTTGATGAAAATATAAATTTGAGCCTTATTGGATAAGACTCGGGTTTACAAGGATAACAAAACCCACATAGGTAACATCTACTTAACCTATAAGGAGAAGTCGTTGCCCCTTATATAAAGAGGGATGAAAAAGGTGGCAAGGTAAGTAAAAAGAAAAACACATCAATAAGAAGAAGAAGAAGGAAAAAAAAAAAAAAAAAAAGGGGAAAAATATTTTCTCCCAAAAGCTTAAGTTATCGCACATACCTTTCTTGCTCTAGAGTTGCCACAAAAAACCCCGATTGATTTCTTAGAGAAAAAATTGACAATACTAAAGGATTAGAGCTAGCACTCCAAGATTTTTGTAGCTTCTCTTGTGGGTGTTTGAGTCGCGTAACTTATCAATAGAGGTCGAACACTTAGATGATTCTTTCCACATAGATAGTTTCGTGCTACAAGAGGTAAACACTTGTTTGAATTATTTATTCATGTGTGTATGATTCATTGATTCAATGGTATAATCTTAGGAGCCATAGATGGAGGAAAATTTTTTGTTTTATTCCACACCTCCGTAAGATGCATGATCCTTCGGATTGGGCTAGGTGTCGTGACACTAAATGATTAGTTACTCGGTTATTGTATATTTCTTAGGAGTTCATTAAATTCTTAAAAAACCAAGAAACAAACAACACTATCATCATTCGGTGTAAAAGCTGAATATCGATCTATGGTCATAACTTGATGTGAGATTACGTGGTCGAAGACAATTCTACAAGATTTAGGTATCAAAGATTCATATCATGCCAATCTATATTGTGACAATCAAGCAGCATTCCATATTACTTCAAACCCAGTCTACCATGAACTCACAAAACATAAAAAAATTGATTATCACCTTATAGGAGAAAAGGTTCAAAAAGGATTGATCAAGATGACTCGTATATCCACATCACACCAACCAGCTTGATATCTTTACAAAACCATTGGTTTCTTCACATCTCACAAATCTACTCAACAAGTTATGAATCATCAATATACATTCTAAACTTGAGGAGGAGTGTTAAGGAGAGGATAATATCATGATGATATGGAAAGTCAATTGTTATTATCTAACTCCTTGATCTTAGGAATGTAAATAAAAAATTATATCTATATGCTATAATTTAGGATGAAATTATAGATTATAGATTATGCAATGTATATATTCTATCATCTTTTCAATGGAAAATATATAGACATTCATTCAATCTTTATTGCTTTTAAAAAGTGATGAGGCAATCGAGCATAAAAAACAAAAGCCAAAAAACCAAAAGACAAACTCATTTGTTTTATATGTCCATGCTTACGTTGTGCTAGCCTATTTTGTTGAGGAGTGTGTTTGGACAAGAGAGATGATATGATATGCCATATGAATCCATAAAATCTTTGAAAGCACTAAGTTCTTGAGCGCCATCACATTGGAAATATTTGATTTTACCATCAAATATATTTGCACTCATTTGTCTAAAATATTTGAAGCAAGCAACATTTTTTTATTTTAGTTTCATTAGATATAACCACGTATATCGTCTATAATCATCAACAAAGATAATGTAATAATTATAGCAAGATGAAGATAAAGTAGGAGATGATCTCCAAATAACTAAATGAATCAATTTATATTGAGCAAAAGTCTACTTATTAGATGATAAAAAAGGTAATTCTTTACCCTTGCTAAACCGACAAGCATTACAAACTGAATCGTAACTAGCACCATTATCATAAGTAGAAGTGAAATCACAATCACTAGCAAGAAGTTTAACAAGAACGTGAGAAGATGGATGTACAAAATGACGATGCTAGAGAGTGATATTAGAATTTTTTTGAGAAGTTGTTATTGCTACTTTATGCTCCAAGTTGCTATCTATTATTCAAAAGAGCCTCGATTCTATTAACTGGTACAGGATCCTTTATAGAGTATCCCCATGCAAAACATAAGAAAACACAACTGGTATCCTTTGCAAGTTTTGCAACAGATAATAAATTCTCTTTTAATTCTAGAACATATAGGATTTCATTTAAAAATAATAGAGGAGAATTAGGAGTTTCAAGTATGCCATCATCTACTCTGAATATTGATATGTTGACCATTGCCCATGTATACATTATCATTACCCAGTAAAAGAATTATCTTGATGCTAGAAATTTAGATATAAACTCATATGGCTAGTTGCATCTGAATCAGCAAGTTAGTGATCAACAATATAGTGAGAATAGGGAGAGTTCTTGTATGAGTTTCGATCATTGTAAAGACTAACATAGTTTACAGGTAAGTTGTCACGGTCATTATATTTGCATTATGGCCAGTTTTCTCACAAATTTACAGCAGAGGCCACCACGAAATCACGTTCAAAAAATCATCCAGAGCATGGCCAGAATCGAGCACCACAATTGTAATTAGGTGACCCACCACGGGACTGAAAGTATTGACTGCGATTGTATGGATTTCGGTGCCCAAATCGTGAATTCTGATTTCAAGTTCGATTAACAACGGCAATCTCCTGAAGTTGGGAACCTGCTGGTGTTGTACTCAAAAACCAAGTGGATTTTATATGTTGTAATCTTTGCTCATGAACAAGTAATCGTGCTCGATGTTCATCATAAAAAGCAGGTCGTTCCCTATTCTCAATTGTATGGACAAAAGCTTGATATTTATGTAGATCTTGTAATCTATTTAGAGTGCATGTAATTAGCTCGGACTTAAGGATTGGATGATGAACAACAGCAAGTTTGTCGGCTAAAGAATTAATCTCAACAACATATTCTTCAGCAATAAGAGTATCATTCTTGATATTTTAAAGTCTATCATGAAGAACATCTAATCGAGCTTCGAATTGTTGTTGGAACAATGTTTCTTGAGTGCCCCAAACAGCCTTAATTAGAGTATACAAACCCAACACATGAGCACTTGCACTTAGAGATAATGTCGCCTTTAGCAGCGTCAAAAGATATTGATCCCGCTGAAGCCATCCTTTATATTTGGGATTAAATACTTATTTGTTAGAAGTTGTGTCTGAAATTATTGATAAAGGAGTTTCGGTAGTTCCATCAATAAAATCAAGGAGATCACTGCAAATAAAAAAATGGCATGATTTGGCCACGCCAAATCAGATGAATTTCTCATAATCAAGTTTACTGGTTATAAGAGAAGTGATGTTTTTGAAAAGAGAGGTGCTTGAGTTGGAAGGCATAATAATCAATGAAGAGCATAGGAAGAGGAAAATACTGATAAGAGTGAATTAGGAAAGAAAAGAAAATAAACCAATGTGAGCATTCAGAAGAGGCTGATGGTTCAAAATAAATCCATATATATGTGTGTGTTTAAAAATTTAAAAATATGAGAAGCTAAAAATATTTTTTTTAAATATGAGAGATCAAAAATATGTTTTGAAAAAATGAAGGAGTAAAATGAAATAAAGTGTAAAATTTGTAAATGAATGACCCAAAACTATTCAAAAATTATGAAAATACCACTGCTACAAAGAATAGTCAATGAATAGTGATTTAAGGACTAAAGAATTTGTAGTTCAGTAATAGCGATTTCTTGTAATAAGAGGTCACGAGTTCAAATCTTAATAGACTAATTTTATTAAAAACCTTAAATGTATAAATTAAAAAATAATAATTTGAGGCAAATAAACAGTAATCTATCATTAGTTTATCTCATATTTTTAAAATTTTCTTATAATATCATGCAGAGCACGAGGAGTAAAGAGAAGGGTCGAGGAAACTTAGTTATATATTTTATTTTGGACCTCTTTAGTTTTAAAATTTTCAATATTAGCCTTATAGTTTTTATACAATTTCAATGTGGTCTTTGATCGTTGAGTCGTTCACAAAGACCAATAATTTTTTTTATTTTTTTATTTTTTCAATATTGATAGCATAGTTGTTAAGTTGTTTAAATACAGAGAAAAGTGCTTGTAAAAACAAAGAACGCAACTGTAGAACACAGCAATAATACGAGGGTATCGAGTATGATAATAGTATTCGTGGGTTTAATTTTGGACGTGACTGTACTTTTCCAATTCATTTCAAACAAATCCATTTAAGGCCTAGAATGAGATATGTAGCCCAAAATTAGAAATTAACTGGTCCAGGAAGTTTGCTTTGGTTTGGGCTTCTTCCTTTCCGAGGTTATTGATCTCCAGAAAACCCTACCTACGGCATTGTTTTGATACGAAGCAAGCAGAAGAAGAAAAATGGATAACATAAATCACTACCTCAATTCTTTTGTGTTCATTCTGACCAAACAAATACAAAATAGAGGAGAAGAAGAAGAAAAATATAAAGTTTAATCAATAGTAGTCTTTTCTTATGCGAAGTTTTAGTGGAAACATAATTTTGTGGCCAAATACAACATTGTTTTTGTTTATGAAGGTTTGTCGGGCTTGAGATCCATAGTGCAGATATCGTCTCCAAGTGGGATATAGAGATTTTCTTTTTTTTAACATGGCACGAAAGACTCAACTTCAGATCTTGTCCGTCGGTTTTTTTTTTTTTAATAGCAAATAAAGGTAAGAGATTCATATCTAAGTTCTGTTTCATGTTTCTTACTTTGCACGAGAAAGTATTATTGGACTAATTATTCATCAATTACCTAGTTAGGTGCAAAACAATTCTTAAAAAAAAAAAAAAAGATAAGTACAGAATTATTACAAAATACTCTAAAACAGAAGATTGTTTCACTGTTCCCTTTTATTGTTTCTTTTACTGTTCAATGAACAATGTTTTCGGTTGGTTTTTTTTTTTTTTTACTCTAAAACATTTTGACGTTAACTTTTTTTTTCTTCTATCGGCCTTTCTTCAACTTTTACAAACAAGTTTTTTTTTTTAGAAGTTTGGTTTCACTATTTCTGTAGCAAGTGGTTTTTTTTAGTTTACTTTTACTACACTTGTTTTTTCCCCTTTTGCTTTTTTTTTTTTTACATCAATTTAGGTTCTTTTTTATTTAATTTTTTAAATTTTCAAGTTTATTTTATTTTGATCTCTAAAAATTTTAAATAAAACTTTTAATCCCCTAACCGATGTACTACACATGATTTTATTTTCTTCACTTTTTTTTATCAATTTATGTTGTTTTGAAAAATCAATTTTGCTTTTTTTTCATCAATTTATGTTTTTTTTTATTTAACTAGATACTAAAATTTTGAAAAATCAATCGTTATTTCTTTTTTTACACAAACCGACTACTATATAATATATACGATATTTTTTATATTTATATGATATATTCTCTCTTTTTTTTTTTACTTAGGTGTTCTTTTTATCATTTTCATAAATTAATGTTTTTTATTTAATTAGGTGTTCAATCTACTCGTAGCATTATGCGGATAATTTCAAAATTAATATTCTCATCAACATTAAATAAGAATTTTTTTCTCATTTATTAATTTTTGTAAAAGTCTATCCATTAAATATTACTTTATTTTTTTAAATACAATATTATGAAAATTATATTTTAAAATTTCTTTAATTCTTGATTAATGTTTTAGTTAAAATTATTATATTTTTTATGTTAAAATCAATCCATAAAGAAGAATGACTTATGTTTTTTTTTTTTAAGCATAAAATTTATAATAAAAAATAAGTAAATAAAAAATTATAATTAAAAAGATTTTTTTTTACCGGATCCACTGTTGTTTAGTGCGAGAAAATGACTAGCTGGACCTAAACTACCAAGTTTTTTTTTTTAGCCAACCACTTGCAACATAAAAAACATAGACCATGTCCAATATAATATGAGTTGACCTCGACCCACTAGAAAGTTCAAAGTCTGTAACTAAGCAGTTTTTCAAACTCATAGTCATTAATTATGAAGTTTGGTTGAGTTTTTCTACCATTCTAAATTTTTACGTTCTATCATTTTCATTATTATGTATAATATATTTTAAAAGTTTAGTCTAGATAGTAAATGAACTTTTTCTCGATTATTTCAAAGTGAACACAATAAAAAAAAAACTATCTTATAAATTTCTCAACTTAAATGTAAAAATCTGCTCATATAAATTAAGCTTCAATGCATGAAAATTGACCAGGATAATTGAACCATTTAATTTTTTTTTTCAAAAATAAAAGTATTCTCAGGCCAACTTTCAAGTATTTTAAAACTTTTTTTTTTTAGATTTGTTAAAAGATACTATTCAACACATAGTTTTAAGTATTTTAAAAATTTAATGCTAATTATAAAAATTAAATTCTAGATCTGATTTACATATCAATATTTATTTATCGGTAAACTATTATCTTATGTTTACCTTTTAAAAAAATTTAGGCAACATGATTTTGGTCAAACGATGGAATCATTAATTATTTTGCAAGTGACCAACGCACACAAGTACATTTGCCTAAGTCCACCTAGAAAACTACTTAGTCAAATACCTTTAGTTGTGCAAGCAATTGGTCTCGAAAATGGTTGAGAACTTTTTAATTTGCAAGTGCCTAATGTGTTTTTTTTTTTTTTTTTTTTTTCAATTGATGTGGCTATTGAACTTATAAAACTACAGAACTTGACGAATTCCTTTTTTGACTTACTAACTATTTTCTCGATCACTGCAAAATATACTCTATTCATGTAAAATATTCTGTAGTTAAGTTTGAATTAAATTAAAGAAGGGAATAAAATACTTTCAAGGAATTAAGGATGTTTAATTTTCTTTTTTATTCTCTCTATAACTCATTATTAATTTCTCTCCAAAAATAATTAAAGTTGGGCTACATTTACATATTACGTTTTTATACTGAAATGAAATACCAAATTAAATTCAAAAGAATTGAATTGAATTGAATGAAAAGAGTTCTAATTATTTAAATAAGTAATCTTATGTTCAAGTATTTGTACATATAAAAAAATTAAAAATTAATTTAGACTTTTAAATATGAGATATGTTAAAAATAAAAATATAAAATTAAATTAAATTAAACTGTGGGCTGAATAATTGCAAATAGGTTTTTTAAAGTATATATTTTAGCCGCATCAGATTTTATCACTTCCCAAGCCCCGCAATGAAACTCGATAATTTTAATACATATACATATATAGACAAATAGATAGATTTAGGCAGCTCATGGGTTGCTTACTTAGATACAATCCCTTTTGATTTGCTCCCTGCTTACCAGAAAAAAATAATTGAAAGTTCGAAAGCTCCTTGATGATGCCTTGGATAATGATGCTAGAGTAGTAGTTATAATGTCGTCGGTTTACATGTTGCGATAGCTTGGTTATATATTTAGTTATTATATTCTTTTGAGTTGTAATTTAGGAATCATTTTTTCATAAACAATTTACTAGACAAATAATATTAATTTAATAGATTTTTTTATAGAAAATGATTTCAAAAAAAAATTAAAAAAAAGAATAAATTAAGACGATAGACATCACAATCGACAGGTTTTATTATTATCACAATTGACATGTTTTATGATTATTATTATTTTAAGTCAAAAGTAATTTAAACATTACATTTATTATAAATTTTTTAGAATAGAAATAAAATTAAACAGACAATTTCAATTAAATTCATAAATTAAAGAAATACCAAAAATCTAATTATCCATCACTTTATTTACTCTGGGCTAATTTGAGTACTCAATCACGAAATGAAGAATCAGTTTTATCGCCAGCTGTCGCACTGTACCACTGTCTTGCCAACTTCATAGGTATTTTCCAAGCATAGACTTGGAGCTTTCATCTTTCTTCCGTTAGGCACTTTCCCCACTCTTTCTTGTCATATATAGGAAGAACACCCTGAACCACAGAGAATTATTTAATGTATATGTTCCTAGTTTATTGACTTTACATGGCTAATTGTTTCTCTCCGTAAATATCTAATTTCATCGAGGTCCATGGTGGCTAAGTTACTAGAGAAGAGTGTATTCTATGTCTTCTTCAATCTCCACACACATACACACACAACAATTCCACCCACCCACCCTCCCAATTTAGATTGACTTCGATCTCATATATTTTACTTTCGCTTTTATAATAAAATCTAAGAATAACTTTCACATTTTATTAAATAACGTTGTGCAAATTGACTTTTGCGTATTCCTCATTCTATCTTTGGAAAAATTTAAAATAAATAAAAACTTTTTTTTTTTATCTTTATATTTTTTATCTTTTTTAAAAAAAATTTCTCCACTTCTCAGTAGTTAGATAATTACAATTACATAATTGTATATCACGAGTACAAGACCAATAGAAAAGGTTAAATATACTCTATGTTTTTGTATTATAACAAAAATATCATTATAACTCGCTCTATTCATACATAATTTATAACAAATCTTATACTATTATACATTAGTATAAAACAATTCCTCCACTAATTTTTTTCATCAAATTGATCAAATTTTGTTAATTATTAAAGAATTATATAAATTATATTCTAAATCTTCACTTAACAGACTTAAATTTTTAGATAAGATGATCTTTTAACACAATATCAAAGTTTTGCTAACTTAACAAGTCGAAATTTCAAATACTATTATCTCCACCTTCTCTTTTAGTTAATTAAGTATAAGGTAGTGTAAGCTTGTACAAGTTTCAAAGCTAAAGAACTTTTACTTGAGAGGATATGTTAGAAAATAATATAAATCAAATTCTAAGACCTAAAGCTTATGCTTTTGGACCTTACCTAAAAATTTAAATTTTTGAGTTGAAATAATTTTTTAACATTAATTGACTAACGTTTAATCAATCAAGTGACAATAGGTGTCAACTTAAGAATAAAAATATAATTTTCTATTGAAATAGATTTTTTTATTTTTTAAAGTTAAAATAATTAATAATTATTATAAAATAATTAAAAAATAAAAAATAATTTATTTAGACTTAAAGTTTCTTTAATAATTATTATAAATTCATTAGCAATTAAAAAATATGATTATTTTTTAAAAATATATATTTTTAAAATTTTTTAATGATTTTACAATAATTATGAATTATTTTAACTTCTCAAACAAATTTATTTTTTAAAAAAATTATATTTATACTCTTAAGTGGACATGTTTCATTACTTGATCAATTAGATGTTAGTCAATTAATAAAAATTAATCAATCTAATATAAAAAGTTTGATGACATACTGTTTTTATATTGGCATCTAATTGTACAAAATTTGTTTTAAGTTATATTTAAATAAAGAGATTGCAATGATATTTTTAGCATAATATAGAAGCATAAATTGTATTTAACCCTAAAATTTTCATCCTCCAAACGTAGCTAAAGCCAGTAGAATAATCTTTCTAATGTCCGCTTAACTACATAACAAAAAACAACAATACCGAACAAACCAAAATATACAACGCGCAAAGAAGAAGTTAATATTAACAAGTTCAATGATTCCACGGCCGCTAAAAACTAGTCAATTTTATATATTTTTTTACTTCTATCCCAAGAATTTTCTTAAAGTAGTTTATATATTAATTAAAATTAATTTTTTAAATGATTTTAATAACGTATTCTTTAATTGGACCAAATACTTTGAAGCATTGATTCCAAATAATTTATATTCAGAAATTATTTATAAAAAAAAACGTCTCCTTGAACTCAATAGTCAATGAGGGCTGTAAAAGATCAATAAAACGCAATACTTTTTTTTCTTTTTTTGCAAAGTTCCATTAATAATAACACAAAGCCACTCGCTCTCTCAAGTCCTTCTCACCTTCTTATAATGTACAATAAATTAAAATCATCACAGCTATCAATGTTTTACTTCAACAGCAAGTGTTTTACCTCCAAAGCTACATATTTCAGTGTCAATTAGCTCGTCATTTTTAATTTCCAAAACTATGGTCCATCTGTTCAAATGAAAAAAAAATCTATGGTCCATTAAATGCCCCTCCCCCGCGCTCTCTCTCTCTCTCTCTCTCTCTCAAGAACATCACACTCTCTCTCTCAAACATCGCTCACCCCCACCCCCCACCACATACTCTTCACATTACCGCAAACCACAATCCCCTCTCACTCTTTCTCTCCACGTGAATCCACCCCCCATCCTCTTGTTTCCTTATTGCTTATGTATGTATATATATACATACAAATGACATAGTAAATACAAAGTACTTCTGTTCAAAAGAAAAAAAAAATCCCTTGCGTCCCATCAAATCCTTCCTAATCTTTATAACCTAACTACCCTCCTATCTATTTATACCTTCTCCCCAGCCGCGAACTTACACATCCTTCCCTAACAGACTCCGTGCATATTTCTTCGTAATCCTCTCTTTGGTGTCCAAAAGAAGTCTCTATCTTTTTCTTTCCTTCAATTCTTGAACTTTTGTTTGCAAAATGGAACTAGATTTGGTAACAAAAGACACAAGCTGGTGGGTATTCACACTTCCAGCATTTCTAGGTTCCCAAAGCCTTTCAGATGGCTATATTTTGTTCTCGCTTGCTATGGCCTTTCTGTCTCTTGCTATTCTTACATGGGCATTTGCCGTTGGTGGTATTGCATGGAAAAATGGAAGAAACAGAAAAGGTCACCGCTTCATTCCTGGTCCTCGAGGCTTGCCAATCTTCGGTAGCCTCCTAACTTTGAGCCGTGGCTTGGCTCATCGCACTCTGGCTTCCATGGCTTGGAGCCGAGCCAACACTCAGCTCATGGCCTTTAGCCTTGGCTCCACTCCTGTGGTGGTGGCTTCTGAACCTCATACTGCCCGAGAAATCTTAACCTCTCCCCACTTTGCTGACCGCCCTATTAAACAGTCCGCTAAGAGCCTCATGTTCAGCCGAGCCATAGGCTTTGCCCCAAATGGCACTTACTGGCGGCTTCTAAGGAGAATAGCTTCTACTCACTTGTTTTCTCCTCGGCGCATTTTAGCCCATGAATCCCTCCGCCAGCTAGAGTGCACGACCATGTTGCGTGACATATCAAACGAACAAAGTCTTAACGGTTTTGTCTTTCTGAGAAAACACCTCCAGTTTGTATCTTTGAACAACATCATGGGAAGTGTTTTTGGAAAGACATACGACATGTCGCAGGATAGCCAAGAGCTGGAGGAGCTTAGAGACATGGTTAGAGAAGGGTTTGAGCTATTGGGTGCTTTCAATTGGTGTGATTATTTGACATGGCTCAACTACTTTTATGACCCATCTCGTATACAAGAGCGTTGCTTCATACTTGTTCCTCGAGTTAGGAAGCTCGTCAAGGGCATCATTGAAGAGCATAGGCTCAGCAAGTCAAATAAAGTTGGTGATAGTTGCGATTTTGTTGATGTTTTGCTGTCTTTGGATGGTGAAGAGAAACTTCAAGATGATGACATAGTTGCTGTCTTATGGGTATGTGTCTTTTTAGGTGCATAAACAACTACTACAGACTAATATTTTCTTTTTTGTGAATCATTGAGTTGGCTCTTGCAGGAAATGATTTTTAGAGGGACAGATACAACTGCTCTGTTAACTGAGTGGGTTATGGCCGAGTTGGTTTTGCACCCTGAGGTTCAAGAAAAGCTTCAAAGGGAGCTTGACATGGCTGTGAAGGACAGGAGCTTGCCTGACTTGACAGACGCTGTTGTGGCAAAATTACCTTATTTGCAGGCTGTGGTAAAGGAGACTCTCAGGGTTCACCCACCTGGCCCACTCTTGTCATGGGCCAGGTTGTCCACGTCAGACGTCCGTCTCAGCAACGGAATGGTGATTCCCGCCAACACTACAGCCATGGTCAACATGTGGGCCATCACACATGACCCACACGTGTGGGAAGACCCGCAGGAGTTCAAGCCTGAGAGGTTCATAGAAGAAGAGGTGGATGTGAGAGGTGGCGATCTGAGGCTTGCACCATTTGGGGCTGGGCGTAGGGTATGCCCTGGCAAAAACTTAGGGTTAGCCACCGTGACACTTTGGGTAGCCAAGTTAGTGTACCATTTTAAGTGGGATAGAGATGTGGCTCACCCAGTTGATCTAAGTGAGATCCTGAAGCTGTCTTGTGAAATGAAGTATCCCCTCCATGCTGTGGCTGTGCAAAGGAATTAATTATTAATGAATTAGTGGTGTTTGCTTCTAGGGTTTTTAGATTGTAGGGTTTGTGGTGTTCCATTAATATTGTTGTTGTTGCTGCTGCAGCTGCTGTTAGTTCTGTACTGATTTTCTTTTCGTGCTATTATATATTGTCAGTAAAAATATGTTATTTCTAACGTATATATATATATAAAAAAAAGAATATGATTATATAATTATATAATAAATAATGGAACTCGTTGTGCACTAAGTTTAATAAAAAATTAAAATTTTTTTCTTGTTTATTTGAATAGTAGAGATTAAAATCTTTTATTGTAAGTCTGTAGTGTATAAATGGTTAAATCATTTTATAACATCAGACTTGAAAAATTCGAAAATGATTTAAGGCAAGACAAATTACATGTTTGCTTCTTTTGAGAAAATATGTAATTTCGGTAAAATTTATGGATTGCATCGCGTTACTTATGTATTGCATATCATCTTAAGCATGCAATGGTCTTGAGATTTTCTTCGCTGTGGTGCCTTTATAAACTGGCATCGCTAACAAAGCGAAAAATACTAACGAGAGGCTTTTAATTTTATTCGTATATCAAACATAATGGATATTATTAATTTTAAATCTAGATCTTACAAAATATCATAGCTATGATAGTATGTTTCATGTTTTAGTCTGTCAGTCATTAAAAATATATGATCAGCACAATAATTTTAGATTAGATATAACAAGAAAGATTAATGCATGAAATCTCATCAAAATTTCTTATAATCGATGCTTGTAATAAGCGTATAGTAAATGAAAAATATTTTTAGATATAAATTTAATATTTTATTAGATTATCAAAAGCTTATATAAATGTACTTGTTTAGTATTTTGATTGTATAGATGTAGATGATTCAAGGGCTCCAATTTTGCGATGTTTCATTAGGAGTCGTCTTTGTTGCTGCCTTGAATCACTATGATGGGAGATCGATGTTTGTTACCACTAGTAGTGTTTCCCTCTCATATTTTATTGATTTCCTAATATTTTCTATGAGTGTAAGCGCTAGTGATTCAAATTTTTATTCTATCCCTTTAGATCGCTGTATTAAATCTAGTTTGGTAATTAGCTGTTTTTTTTTTGGGTTTTTGAAAACCAAAAACATAAAGAAAAAGGTTTTGAAAAATGAGTGTATAGGTTTGGGTGTTAAATAGGTTTGCTTGCTTGATGTTTTTCCTAAATGCTTCTTGTTTACTGAATTTTTGCGCACTTGAAAGAACAATTAAATCGATTTTATCCGAGAATAGTTAATTTGTCAAGAAGCTCAGCTCACCAAATTTTGCACGAAGGACCTGTTTTATCTTACAATTCTCATCCTATTCTCAATTATACGCTAACAGAACAAGGAAGATTTCAATTGGGATCCTCAGTTTTTTGAAAATGATCCAATTAACCCTTTTTTCTTGTAGTTTTAATGGGGGTATTAAGTTTGATAGATAGAGATGTAATTGAGAATTTCTTTTGTTAGATGTCTGGTTTACTCGAGGACAAGGACTATTTTTCTCCGATTTAAATTGAATAAAATCTCCCAACAATCAAATACTGGTCAGGAGGCATTATATGTCCCAAAAGATATCACTGGAAAAAAATTATTCTCATAAAAAATTGTTTAGAAAGGATAAATACATAAAGCAGCGAGAGAGAGAGAGAAGACAATTTCAAATCATATATTTTATTTATTAAGTGACTATGGTAATATTTTTTCCTATGACATTTGTTTAAATATCATATGTCCTCTTAAACATAACTTGCTAGAGTAAATTATAAATTAGTCCCTTTAGTCTCAAGAAACAATTAATTAGTTTTTTAAAAATTAATTATTTAATTATTTTATGATATTTAATTTAAAATTATTTTATTTCAAACAATATATTTTTTTCATCAATTTTTTCATAATATCTATTTTTTTATTTTGAAAAAAAAACAAAAATTAAAAAATAACATGAATAAAAAAAATTAAATAATTAGTTTTTGAATCAGGAGAGACTAATCAATTCCTTTATAAAAGCTAAAAGAACTAATTTTTATTGCTATAACATGTTAACTAATTTTTTAATTATTTTTTATTTAAATGGTAGGTAGGCTATTCCACATTATCCAAAAGGAAATTTTATGCGTATATCACACTATTTTTTATTTGAAAGGACTCTCGGCGCACTTATGCCGGGATTGAAGTTTAGGATTTTTTTGAAAATAGTTACCACCATAAATAAAGACATAATTATACTATTAATTATAAGTTGTAACGAATAAAATTCGATTTCTTAACTTTATAAATGAGCTTTTTATGAAAAATTTACTTACTGTTACGTCTACTCACTTGTTGGCTAACATTGTTAACTATTCTTGTGAAATGTGGATGGAATGACCACATCAAAACCATTAAAATGACATTAAGGATAAAATTGATTGAAACGATGGATGATGGATAGTATTGTTAACGGCCATATAAGCTGATAGCATTTTTGTACCTTGCCTAAGAGACAAGGAAGAAAGAAAGAAAGAAAAACGTTCATTCAATTCAAAACTTAAACGATTTTGATTACATAGATTTTTTATTAGTGATGTCTTATTCCTTGCTCTGTCATCTCGCAAATGTTCAAACTTTCCAATACATTTTTACAAAGGCTGAAGTTAACATGTGTTTAAATATACTTATAAGCCTTTATTATATTTTATTTAGATTGAGTTTTAAAAAAACGATGAAAATTCATTTTCAAGTAAAAGTCAACAAATATCACTAATTAATTTTTTGCACGAAAAAAGTTTTTTTTTTAACTATCAAAACTACCTTACCATCCTACTTTCCTCTTCCTCCATTTCCGTCACCTTACCATTACCACGTACTATCATAATTTTACCGTCATTTTTCTTAACCACCACCGTTATTTAACTTAAACCACCAAACTCTGACACCTCTCATCAATTATTATTACCATTACCATCTTCAACGCTGCAATCACCAGCATCACCTCACCGTCATCAATATTTGACCACCAATCCTTTCCCATCTTTTCTATCAGTGCCACCATCTTACACTTATAATTCTAACAACATTTCACAGTGATCATATTTTCCATGTGGAATATAAAAATATTATAATAACAATAGAATAAATCATATCTTCTTTAATAATTTAAATTTTTTAATCAAAATAATTTTTTTTTAATGTAATATCAATTTTGATGATCAAATAATCATGAATTTGAATATCATTATACTCATTTTTTTATTTAATTAAGTACAAAATACTATAGGTCTATATAAATTTTAAGTTCAAAAAAATTTTACCTAGAAGAGTATGTTAAAAATAATGAAAATAATATTTTATAATTTCACTTAATAATTTAAAATTTAAAATTTTGATGGATTTTCAACAAAGAGACAAAAGGTTAATCAAGTACTCTAATTATTAACAAAAAAAAAAAACATCTAAGGTATTCATTATTCACATATTATTTATTGAGACTCAACATTAATGTGGATAAGACCGATCGTTATTATTTTTGTCTCTCATTTGTTGATCTTTTATCTTTGATAATATATCGTATTGCAAACAAATTAGTTATTTGTTTATTTTTCTCATAGAACCCAACCATAAAGGTGTAAATAAGGCAAACAAGGGTCAAACCCATAGAAAAATGGCCTAATCGACAATTTTTATTGTGTGAATATTCCGTAGTGGAGGATTGTGTTTGTCTGTGATTTGTAAGCAATCAAAAGTAAATATAAATAACAATACTAGTTCGAGTATCGACTTGTGATTTAGTGGTTGATCGGTGATTCAATAATTAAAATATCTTTAACATGAATATTCAATGTAGGACAATAATATATACGTTGTTCTCAATCTTTTCTAAATGATTCGTTAACCACATGACGTTACTTGATCGATTCCCTAACCATTGAACAACCTAGTAGACGCTAGCTAGATTTAATCCAATAACAACATTAAAGTAGGAAAAGACAAATGGAGTTAAACCACCCTTCTAGACGTTAGAAAGATATAATCTAGTTTTATGTTTTTCAAGGAATTAAACAAAAATGCATTTATAATCATTAACCCTTAGTCACTACCACGGGTAAGTTTAGACAAACAATTACATGAACTTGAATACTTAGCCGATAATGGATTATGATGATAAATCAACTAGCATGCACTCTAATTAATTTAATCACACAATCAAAAGCAAATAACATAGAAAAACACAAAATACTCATAAAAAATAAGTTTAGAATAAAAACCCCGTTATGATCTCACAACGATTTAACCAAAAGCATCAACCTTCTTTCAATCAAGATAGGTGTTTAATTGTTCATGGCCGATTATAATAAAGAATTTTCTATCTATGGTGGTCGCTAAAAATAGAAATCCCAAAATAAAACCCTAACCTCACTATCTATAGCTAAAGTAGGGTTACAACACACATATGTCGATCCTAAATAGCCACACATATTGCTTAATAAAGACACACGATTTACTTCTTAATCTCACATAGATTAGAGCCTTGAAGAGTTGGTATTACACGGTTTGCTAGATAGAGGCACAAAACAAGTGTGTCTTTTACACTCCATCTCATGTCCCTAACATTTATTTGTGTAGAATTTTGCCTTCATCCCGTGTCACTTCATTCTACCCATGTGCCTTTGTTGCTTCATTTTTCTTACTACAACATACATGGGTGTGTCTCTTTTTTAATGCATTCCATGTGAATGTTTATTACCCGTGTGATACTTTTTTCCTTTTGGAAGGTATTTCGACCTTGACACACGTATGAGTGTATTATTTTCCTTACTCTAGTCGTGTGAAAGGCTACTACTCGTGTGAATTTATTGTTGGACAACTATACGGTTTCTTCCTTTATTTCACACGATCGGTAGCTAATTTCTCTTGAAAATCGCACGACTATGTGACTCTTAAGCTTTTTTGGTGATTTTTACTTCTCCTTACTTTGGTTTTGGGTTTCTTTGCTTCGGTTTGTCATTTTTCCTATAAAACCTAAAATCGTTATCTTGATCTTAATTTACTATGTAAAAGAACATAAAAATCATGTTAATTATGCACTTATCAATCTTCTCCTTTCATGGGCCATTTGATTTTGTGATTTTATTTCCTTTTTTTTTAATTCTTTTGTTTTGCAAGTTTTATTAGCTAAAAAGAGTAATGCAATCTAAGCAACCAATAGATAATTATCATGTCATTATATCTTATCTTCAACAATCTTCAATAAACAATGCTTCTCTCGTAATTAAAAAAAAAACCTCTCTCTTTCTCATATGTCTGCAGCTCAATAAAAATTACTCATGCCAATCATATAACAATTATTCATAAGGACTCACTAATCAAAATCTTTTCCGAGTTCGTGACGATGGACAATTAGAGAAATTTGATTCTATTTTAACCGATTCGGTGCCCTCCACTTCATCTCAGTGAGCCTAAGTTCATTTTTAGAGAGAGACTGCTATTGATATCTTGAAAGAAAAGACAAGTTTCTTTGATGTGAAGTTTTTATTTTTTACTTGAATTTTGCATATTATAATTGTTTGGAGTTAAAAAGAAGTTTTTTCATGTTCCTACATTCTTATAGTTATACAAATTTTGTATTTTTGGATTCACGGTTAAAGAAAAAGAAAGGTTTAAAGAGAGATAAAAATTAAAATATACAAATTAGTTGACTTGGTGAGTAGTAATTTGTTTCACTATAGAAACCATTCATGGCCACCCCATGAGTATATCGACAAAAGCACCTTACAATTGATGACCACTTTATCTCTATCTCTCTCACTTTGATACAATTGATCTTTTTTTCTATTTTGTTACCGATTTGAGTTTACTATTTAGTTTTTGGAAAAAAATTCAAGAGAATGAAGAAGAGTCAAAATATTCTTTCTAAGAGATGGGTCAAAGAATCATGTCTTAAGCTACTTACTACTTTATCGAATCATAAAAAAAAAGGTTATTTACAGCATTAGGTATGTATTTTAGTGTTAGCTACTATGCATCTGCAGCTTGTTGGTTTTGTGGGGTGCTATGCGAATTTCTAGTTCGATTGTAGATATCAACTCGCCCATATAATTTTATTTCATTTTTTTATACATAGCTTTTAGGATTATCTAGAACTTTTTCAAGACTCGTGTTATGTTAAGTATCGCTACAATTTGATTAAATTTAATTTTTAATTGGTGATCATATTTAGGATGTTATGCTTATAATTTCTATTGATGAAATCCTTCATATGATGCAAATATTAGGTTGTTATTTATTTGATTCTAAACCCTTAACTAGCTAATTAATGAAAGGTTTATGGGCCATGACTATGGGTAAAACAACTAAGAGATTACCTTGATAATATATTATTTAGGGTAAGATCGCTTATGAAATATATGGCTTTGCTTTTTGCAAGAACGTATCCGATGTTTTCTAGGAGGCAATTGCTTCCAAGCGTGTTCTTTTACTATACCAAGTTCTCTCTATTTCTTAAGGAGAAAATAGATTCGAAATCAAGATTTTGTGTCTTAAAGTTTCTTGGAATTTTTCGTCAATATATGAGATTTAATATTCAATTTATCCTTTAGTTGTTAATACCTTTTCTTTTTGGGTCTTATTTGAAACAATTTGAAATTACCTTGAATCTAGCCAAAGCATAGACCAAAGCTATTTTTTTTTTTTTTTATGATTTTTGCTTCTTTTTTCACCTTTATTGGCATAGGAGTCATATGAAATTAATTGTGAATTGTGGTGCGAGCATTGGTGTCACCATATCTTGCTCTATACATGTTGTTTGACTTGTTATAATCTATTGGTATGTGGGTTTGATCTCGGTGTTTGTTATAGATGATTTCTACATATCAAGGAAAGAGCTTTATATATTTTTACTAGCATATTATAGGGGTCCTATTTCTACAATTCTAAGCCATACTTTGATAATGCTATGGTTCCATTTTAAGCATGAGGGTTATGTTGAGAGTCTCGTCATATACTAATATAAGGCGGGAACCCCACAACTTCATCCGAGCAAAGGTTGACTCTATAGATAACCCAAGTGATGTTGTTCGGTGCGATTACATAGCAAGTTGAATTCCTTTTTGTAAAAGGTAATTTGACATTATCGCAACGTTGGTTCTAATAAAGACCTATGCCTATTATGTGGCTTACCTTTATTGTGAAATATACGTGATGTAGTTTAACTAATTTAAAACATTAAGAATTTTACTTTTATACCTACTATTTCGTCTATAAAGTTGTGTCTAATAGAAATATGTCATGATTGGCTTTATGGTAGTATTTATGAATGTGTTAACGTATGATGAAATGCCGATAATATTAATTACTCTTAGCTAGCAATGTTCAAATGATTTCTAATGTTTTCCTTCACCTTCAATGTGAATGTTCAGTTGTTCAATTTCACATGATGGGAATTTTGATAAATGAATAATTAATGGAAACTAGATAAGATTATTATTGTAATAAATAGGTGTTCAATGATAACAATATACTACCTTATCATTTACACTCGTGACTACCAAACTAGAATATAAGTTGTATATTACATCTCGCTAACCTTTTCACACCTCATGATTTTCTTCACACCTTATGATTTTTTATGCTTTTAAAACATCATTGTTCACATTTGAATGAAAATAATGTAGTTTAATTGATTAAAAATAAAAATTTAACTCTTAATTCAAAAATTAACTATTCTATTTACATATTCAAGAATGCCCATTAAAAAAACTTTTAATTTCTTTCAATATCTTAAATAAAAATAGAATTTGAATATAGTAAGTAATTTAAAGAAAAATAGATATGAATATAGTAAAGTAACTTAAAGGAAAAAAAGCTACCTAAACGCTATCGATAAGTTAAATTGAGATATTTAATTCATATAATTATTACAAAAATTAGAAGCATAATATTTTATCCTCACATTTTTTTGCACATAATTTTCTAATCTTGTAATTAAAATAATTATAATAATCAATCAAATAGTCATTTGATTCACTTGTTATTATAGCTATGAAAGCATAATCCTCACGTTTCTATAAAGTTTATATTTTCTCAATAAAATTATATATAGCTACCAGTTTTCCTTTCATATTTTGTCTTTGCAAGCAAAATGTAATTGTTATGCACTACTCGTTAGTGTAAAATATAAATATTAAAATTTTGATATTTTCTATATTTATTTTTTAAAATGTCGGGAAGGTAAATGATTTAGCTTATTTTTGACCAAATAAACACTTTGTTTATATAGTTTTTTTTTTTTTTTTTTTGCTTTTTTGCTTTTTTTTTTTTTGTTAAAAATGTGTTCTTATATGCATAAAAAGAAGGTTGACCTTCGAGTCTATATTTCTTTTGGATGATTTTTTTTCTATGACTTTTAAGAATCTTATAATAATCTATTTTGGTTTTTGTGCATAATTTTGTTTGGTTATAAGTCGTGATTTTTTTCCCTTCTTGTTCTTTGGCATTATTGTTTGGATGAAATGAAATGAAATGAAATGTTTTTATTGTATTGTTATCTTTCTTTTTATATGTTGATGACCATTTTGTTTTAGTATTAGCTCTATAGGGTAATTGCATCAAGCATTTGAGATTCATATCCTAACATTTGTATAAACATGAATTGCATAGGTGCTTTATTTTGACTTCAAGATTTTTGTATTTTAATATGGATGTTGAAACTGAATTATATGCATCTATAATAATATTATTAGTGTAGGTGTTCAAGATCCAACCATGTTTGGATAGGTTTGAGTTATTGTGATATTACACCATTTATTTTATTTATAATAAAGAAGTTTTTCTATTAATTCTTATACCTCATATTTATTTATTGAGTAGAATTAGATAAAAGTTCATATGATGTGCATTTAATTAGTGATTGATCGAAAGATGTGAAACAAATACTAATGCACACAAATGATATCATTAGATGTCCCAAATCGTAGTATTGTCAAGAATGGACATTGACAATATATGGCTAGGCTTATGAGTGCTATGCGTATGTTATATGTAGAAGTAGGAGATCTCACACCTATTGGGATAATGATGACAAAGCAAGCACTTAGGTGATTTATGCGAGAACTCATTTGGTTTAGTCTATGGAAGTCTCATACGAGATGGGTACAATCGGTCCTTGGAATTGAAGTCATTATGGTTATCTCATTAGAGAATTTATGCACTTTGACACTCATTTCGATGTATCCAAGTAAAGAGTTACACGTGCATAATTCATTGGGTGCACCAAAAATTTAATAGAGATAAATGGATGACTAAGATAGAATATGGCATTCTTTATATGTTAAAGGAGTTATCACATTGCATTTTGATGAATGTCCGCTCAAAAAATTTATGGCCATACTAGGAGTACACCAATAGAGCATAGTTGGTTTACTCTAAGAGCTAAAACATTTGGGAATTGAAAAAAACTTATGTGATCATAATCGAAAAAGACTAATAACCAAGTTTGAGATCACACTCGTGATAAGTTGACATAAGGACTAAATTATATGGTAACCACGCTCGTGAAAGGTAATTACAAATTAATTAACCTCCTAGAGAATTAAGTAGTTAGTTTCAAATTTAGAAATAAATAACCTAAAAGAAAATTAGTTTCCTAATTTAGGTTTAAGGGTATTTTGAAAAATTATTTTCTAAAGTAGAATTCTTAAAATTATCTAACCTAATTTATTTAGATAATCCAAATCAATTAGTTGGGCCAATAAGTTTAATTAAAAGCCCGAAAGATATTTTGATGGGAGGATAAACATAAACCTTATTGAATAAGGATGAATGTTTTAAAGATAAGATGAAAAAGCCCACATGTCTAATAACTCTTAATCCTTGGAGAATTAGGAGTTAACAACTTAGAGTCCTTTAAGGACTTATTGTCACCCCTTCCTTATCCTTGAAGGACAAGGAAGCCTCTCCTATAAATATGTGGGAAAGAGGTGCGACAAGAAGAGAGAGTTTTAGCAGAGAGAAAATGACACAAAGAAAAAAAAAAGGCTAGGGTACATGGCATTGAGTAAAAAATAAAGAAAAATAAATTTTCCTAAAAACTCTAGCACATGCCATCTTCCCTCTCTCCTTTAAGGTTGTCACAAAATTGCCTTGGTTAGATTTCTAAAGCATCAACACTAAACAAGTTAGAAAAAATGAAGCTAGCACTCTATTAATTTTAAGTGCTTCTTGTATGGTGCTTGAACTACGTGGATTATCGATAGAGGTTAAACACTTGGATGACTCCTTTTTGTAAAGGTTTAAATCTATGTTATAGAAGGTAATTCTTTATTTATCGTTTTCATTTATGAATATATGGTTATTTAATTCAACGATATGATCTTGAGCCCTTTAGATAGAGGAAAATTTTATTTTATTCTACACCTCTATAAGGTGCATGATTTTTCAATTGGTATCGAGCCTATGTTGAATCTTTGATTGTATTTTTTTATTAATTATGATTAACTACATGAATTAGCTATTTTTGATTGTCAATCTTTTTTTTTGTATTTTATATATATTTAAAATTGAAATTTTAAGTTTAAATTGAGTGGGGTTTGCGAGCTCAATGTCGGGTGTGCGGTAGGCTAGGCCAATCACGTGCTAAGCGTGTGATAGGCCGGGTTTGTTGGCTAGACAGGTCGCACTTCGGAGGCATAACAAGCTAGGTCGGTAGCACGTTAGACGAGCGATAGGCCAAAAGCCCTACCAAACATCATGCGCTAGCATGCTATAGGCATAATGTGCCTTGCACACTTAAGGCCTTCGATCAAAGCTAGTTGTGAATGAGGTGCACGATGTGCCAAGCTTAGTGGGAGGCTAATCGTATGCTAGACACATAACAAGACATGTATGCATTGGACGTATGCTAAAGCTAAGGCTAGGCTACGACATGTCTAAAGCATGTGAGGCACGTGCCGGGCGGACGCATGGCCGAGGGTTGTGGTGTGCCGAGTGCGAGCGTGAAGCTACGGTGCTAGGCATTCATATGCCGGCCCTAAAGCATCAAAGCTTGTGGGCCCTCGAGTCTCAAAGCCTAGGCCTATCGGCCAAACATTCGTACTTC